TGCGCAGGGCCAGTCAGTCGGCTTGATTTAGCAAGGCTTCGGGACCACGTGCTCCTGTTCTGATTTGTTTTTGGCGTTTGACAGCATGGCTGCGCTCCTTGATTTGACCCAAGGTTATGACGCTCAAAACATTGGGGGTCATCCGCAAGATTCGGGGCAAGGTCCGCCCGGAAAAGAAAGCCTTGTACTTTGTCCAAGGGCACAGGGAGAATGGTGGGCCGGCCTGGTGCTTTGTTGGGCGCTGGTGTCCTGCAAAGCTGAAAGCCTTTCTTCGTGCGGTGGATGCAGTTGTAGAGGGCGTTGGCCAGCAGCCCCCTCGCACACTCAAAGAGGTTTACACCAAGGCATGGCTTCAGCGCTTCAACGTGGTTTCCAAAAGCTCTCGAAAAACCAAGCAGTCTGCCAGCCAGTTCAGCAACGTGTGTGTCATGTTGGTGATCTTTACCTCCAGTTCTCCATGAGTTTGCATTCCAACGTCCCCCTGACAGGTGAAGAAGGCGCAAACTGCTGTGCAGCGCTTGGGCTGGAAGCCCCCATTTTGGCGGGCTGACGGAGGCAACTATCATTTCAGGGCCACCTCAAAGCTTTTTTAGAGGATCGTGCGACCTTGGCGGGCGTGAAGATTGAGCTCGGCAACATGACCCTCAATGCCTTTTTGCGTGTGAACCCTGATGTCAAGGCAGGAGACTGCATCGCACGTGATTTTACAAAGCGCTTTCCTTGACAAGTTTGTTCAGGGGAAGTAGTTCAGTCACTCTGCAGCCCTGATCGCTCGCCTGAGGACAATCTGAAGAAGGTGCGTGCCAAAATGCTGGATCAGGGACCGGAAGATCACCCCTTACTCATTTTGCGAGTATTTGGGCGCCGCCGCCGGGCCCACTGCTGTGTCCTATTTGGCATGCGTGTGCCTGGACCCGGCATTTCAGGAGTCTGACTTCGACAACTTCAAAGTTGAGAAATGGTGGCGGGTGGCAAAAGCCTTTTTCAACAAGCATGGGGTAGAGCCCCACCCAGCAACTGTCGCCCCCATGGTCCGGGCCCTTTGCACTTAGTCCGGCGCTGTTTTTGTGTAGATAGCCTTCGTGGCTGCTGAGCCTGTGCAGCGTGCTAGTCAGTGCACCATTTTGGCAAAGCCTTGCCAAGAATAAATCCATTCAAATAAGCTCAGAGTCCTGAGGCCTGCAGTTCCGAGTCTGGGCATGGGAAAAAACATGTTGCCAAGTGCCAAGAAGTTCATTTTTTTATCACCGCTCTTCTTTGTCAGTTGGCTGTATTGGTCTTGATGCGTAGCAACCGCGAAGTGAAATGCATTGTTTTCACATCGTGCAGTGGTCCTGCTACGTTGCATTGACAACTTGTTCCTACCAACTTAATGTACAACTAACTCATGATGTAGCTAAATCTCAGGACTCTGCAGGACTCTGAAGCAACTCAAGCAATCTTCAACTCTTTGGAGAGTGTCATAGCCGCATCCTTCCCCATAGGCTTCTTCAACTTCAAGATCTTGGACAGCTTCGGGGCCAAGGCGCGCCATCCAAAGTCACCCCTTTTGCGGGCACGGCACAAGGTAGAAAGGGACTTCAACTGGCCTTTAGTGATGCCCTTTTGAGCCATGCGCTTTTCCAAGTGCGACTTCCTGCCATTCACCTTGTTTGGGTTCATGCCTGCTTTGGCCAGCTGCTCTGCCTTCGCCCGAAGACCTTGTTGCAAACGGTTGACAATTGTGTCCCTTTCAAACTCTTGAACAGCTGCCATGATCCGACGCTGAAAATTCTCTGCAGGGCTGGCGCTTGCAGTGAAAAGGGCTGGCGGCAGGTCGGCCACAACGATGCATGTGTTGGTTTCCTTCGCCTTCTCATAGATTTCCTCAATGCCACTTGCTTTGCGCCCCAAAGCACGCAAGCTCTCCACGAAAATATGGCTCGTTTTCCCGTCAAGCAAGGCCTGGAGCTTTTTCTTCTTGTTCAAGGGCAGCATCCCGGAAATGCATTCTGTCACCTTGCTGGAGGCTCTTGGACGGCTTCACGCCTGAGGACTTCAGCGCTGCAAGGCCGGCTTGGATTTGTCTACGTGAGCTGTCTCCCTTCATGTTTGTCTTGGATGACGTTCGGGTGTAGATGGCCACCTTGTTCATGTTCTTTTTGCGGGCCATGGTGCAGACACTCAAGAGACTCAGGACTCAGAAGCCTAAAAGGCTGCAAGCACCTCCCGTGTCAAAAAGCTGTTTTGCTCAGTGACCCTAAGCTCCGGCCTCCATGGACTGCATGACACCTAAAGCTGGTGGCTTCTCATGCCCACGCCCAGCCCCACCAGCCTTGAAGGCTGGCGCTGTCCGGCCTGAAGATGTTGAGCGCCTGACAAGTGAGTGCAAGGCAGCAACGTTTGTCCCTCCAGGCCCAGTCAGAGCCGGAGTCCAAAAGTCCGGAGTCCACAAGTCCGGATCCCAAGAGTGCGGAGTCCAAGTCCAGAGCCGGAAGTTGCACTGCGCACAGAGCCCGCCCCGGCAGCGCAGCAATCCACAGAGCTAGTGGCCACACAGGCAGCAGTCCCACAGCCTGTGACCCCAGAGCCAGCACTCCCATCGCAGTCCGCGCAGCTGCCACAGCCCAGACCCTCAGACCTTGTGGAGCCTGCAGCCTCTCCTACTCCTGTCGCCTCTGACTCGGACGTTGTCACAAGTCCAGCAGACGGGGTGACTGGTGAGCCACCGCTTTCGAACGAGGGGGGCCCACTGGCAGCAGAGTCAGGGAAACCAAAAGGGCCAGCTGAAAGAAAGAGTGGAGAAAAGACAAAAAGTGACAAGTGCAAAGCTGCTGCCCCCAAGCCCCGTGGTGCACACCGCTCCCGGAGCAGGCGGCGCCGCCGCCGTGCGAGGCGCTCACCCTCTTCGTCCGACACTGACTGTGGATGTCACCCTGGAGGTGCGCATGCGGATGCACCGCTCACGGAGTGGACACTGGCGAGCTTCGTTGCGGCGAGCAGGGCTGCGTGAGGATTGATTGCTGCAGGAGTGCGCGCTGCGTTTCTTTTTTTACTCAGGCAGCCCAATTTGGGGCATAGCTTTTGATTCTACAGCATGTGCTTGGGACTCTGTGGGTACCCACCTGGCTTTCAATCAACTCTCAACAGGACACATCACACTTGCAAGTTAACAAAACAGACTTCTGAGTTCAGAGTTCCAAGACTTTTTCACCAACCACCGACCCGTTGCAGAAATGGAAAAACGCGGTAATGCGTGAGAAGCCAGCAGTTTGAGGTTGGTGAAGCATGTGATGACAGGACTGCTAGATTAGGTTAGGTGTGTGCAAGTTTGTTTCAGCCCGGCAGTGTGCAACTCGTTGCGCGCAGCTAACATCGAAACCATGGCGTTTTGAACAGCTTCTTTGGGCACTCATCAGGTGCCTTGAGGCTGTGGAGCTTGGGCAAGGCAGGCGTCTGGGCGCTGGGCCACGGGCAAAGGAGATTGGAAGGGAATGTAGTTGGACGGGAATCATTCCCAGGTCTCTTGTGCCCCGTTTAAAAAAAACACAGGTGAGCTGAAGTGTAGTCATCTCTATGTTAATGGTTCTTGTGTGCTGCAAAGGTTTGGTTTGAAGCAGCTCCACCACAAGGATGTCGGTTTTAGACCGCGAGCTATTTATTTTACCGTTTCGAGTGTCAAGGTACATTGTGGGGCTCAGAACTATGGACAGCCAAAATTGTATAAACAAACTTGTTGGGTTTAGACGGCAGCCCTCTTTTAAGCTTAGGGTTCAGCAAGCCAAAGGCAAGGGTATGGAAAGAATTGTTGGTTTTAGACACGCCCCTTTTCAATGGAAACATCCACAAGTTGTCAGTTGGAGATGGTAAGGGTGTCTATTTGGAAAAACGATGTGCGTAACAGCACGACTTCCAAATAGAGAACCCTTACCATGTCCAAATGACAAATGTGTGTTTCCCTAGGCCTCTGAAGGGTCTAACCAAAACCCAACGTTGCTTTGTAGATCAGACAGCCCGTGCGCATCCCCAGTGAAGCAGTGAACCCCCGCTGCACATTCGGCCTTCAACCCATCACTGGTTTCAAGCTTTCACCTGAACAGTTGGTTGAATATTTTCGTTACTGATGCACACCAGGTCTTCCAAAAGCTGTCAGTTTCCTGAAAGGACCGGCTCACTCGGGATAAAGCTTCAAGCTAGATGATATCATTTTCGCATTTTGGCTATAATTCTGCTTGCAACACAGGCCGCACTTGAGCAAGGTGGCGCTTCACCCTTCAATGCATCATTGAACCTACACCAACTCAATAAGAATAGACAGGCTTTCGGTGGCTGCCTCATCAACAACTGAGTTCAAAATCATTGAGGCGCCGTCTTCTGTGGAAAGCTGCTTTACTAGCTGCTCCACCCCCTTCCCCCTCACAATGCCTCGGGCACTCGCCGGCAGGCTGTGCGTGTCCCGGATGTCCGACCTTGGCGCAGGCCCATCCAAAAGTGGTTCTGAGCAGGGGCATGTGCGCCTGGCAAGGGAGTGGTTGCACCGCATTGCAAGCCAGTCAACATTGAGTGCATTTGAGTGCATTTAAGAATCACAGATTTCTGAACCACCGCCCCAAAAAGCAAATGGTGAAATGAGAAAATGAAAACAGAACGTTAGAGCCATTTCTAGAGGGTATGTTGTATAGGGATCGAGAAATGGCACTAACCTAGTAGGTTAGTGCCATTTCTCAAGTGTACGGCATCAGGTGCTGCCATTTCTATTTCTTCGGCTATCGGCAGTTAACAAATGGCAGCACATGATACCGTACACTAGAGAAATGGCACTAACCTACTAGGTTAGCGCCATTTCTCGATCCCTATACAACATACCCTCTAGAAATGGCTCTAACGCTCTGTTTTCATTTTCTCATTTCTAGATCACTTGCTTTTTTTTACCATTCTGACTTTGCACTGCGAATGCAATTTGAATGCTCAAGCCAAGTTCAGAGTCCTGAGTCCTGAGGGGCTCCGAGTAGGCTGCTGGAATGCCTTCAGCCGTCAAAGGCATTTTGACCAAGTTCGAGGCATGGCTGGAGGACACCTTTGGAGGCACTGGGGGTCCAGAGCAGCCAGACGCTGTCGAGATCTGCAACTCGGAGTGAGTGACCGGCACACCTTGTCTTGCAAGCTTTTCTGGCCATCACTTGCACGCGCTGTCAGCCATGTAACTGACCTGAGGTGACTACCTGGCCACGCGGAGCTCAAGGCCATCTTTGAGGGAGTCAAGACACGGCTGGAGAAGGTTGACCCAAGCTTCCAGTTTTCTCGCAGAGCAGCTGAGACCACAGTTCCAGCAGTGCCAAGTCCGAACGAGACTGTTGAGCTCTTCCTGAACCCATGGCACCTCAGCTTTGACCCTGCCCTCTCCCTCAAGGGTAAGTCCAAGATGGTGCACGTGCTCCGGTGTGTGCGCGACTTCCTTGAGAAACCGTACAACTCCATCGAAAACCCCATCCATGTCACCTTCCCCAAGAGCATCCATGTGGAGGGGGGGGCCCTGCAGGACTTCATGGTTGGCCATGGCATTGGCTTTGCGAAGAGCTTGGCAATGAAGATCTTGCTCCTGGGGGTGAACCACCTGGAGCTCAGCGACGATGAGCTCAAAGCCTTGAGCCCCCAAGAAAAAAGCTTTGTGTGGCTTCCGTTGCACTTACAAGACCGCAGGGCAGGAGCGGCAGGATCGCTTCGCGTGCTTGCAGGACAAGTTTGCCGAGTCTGCGCGTCCCCGGCCTGACTGCATCCAGGTCTCCAACCTCCTGCTGGTCCAGGCGCGCGCGGATGGAATGGACTGGGCAGAGGCTGCACCGAAGCTGGTGGCTGAGTTCAACAGCAGCTCCGAGAACGAGGTGAAACAGCTCACTGACATGGAAATCAGCATAGTGAAGACGCTGCCCCTGCTGGACGCCGACACGTTCCAAGCCATAGACTACCACTGGCAGACCAACTTGATCAGAAATAGCGCTCTCCCATACAAGGTGCTGGCTGCAGATGCCTTCTTCAACGGCTTGAAGCCCAAGACGAACCAGGACTCCGAGCTCTGGCGCAACATCCTGGCTGTTGACAACCGGAAGAGGCATTGGTATGTCAAGCGCAAGGTGCAGTACTTTCTCTTCAAAGTTGCAGACGCCAAGAGGCTCAAGAAGAAGGTGAACTTGAGCCTTGGGGCCTCCAGCTTCCGCGATCAAAAAGATGGCGAGACTGCTTGGACGATCGCTGCCATCTTTTCCCACTTCCTGGGTGAGTGGCAGCACCTCCTCACAGACAAGGCTGTGGCCCGCTTGCAGGAGAGGTTCTGCCGCGGCTATCTCGACACAGAGCTCGCTGAGAAGCACCGCATGATGAACCCAAAGCTCACTGCTGTGCAGTTCCGATTTCTGGCTGACGTTGGCTTTCAGGCAGGGGGCCAAAAGTAAGCAAAAAAGCTTTGTTAATCAGAGTCATGCATTCATTTTTTGAGCACTGTCTGTCAGGGTGCGCTGGATCCGGAGTGCAAGGATGACATGGAGGCCAAGGCCAACTCAGACCTGGAGAAAGCGGAGCTGGCAAGAGCCAAGGCCAGGCTTGCAAAGGAGCAGTCTTATTGGGAGACGTTCCAGGCAAAGCTCAAGCTTCAGGGCCTGGGCCTGCAGCAGGAGCAGCTGGACAAGGAGCGACAGGGGCAGCGCAAGGCCATCGAGCGCTACGCGGACACCTTTTTGCCGCTGCGTGACGTCTCTCATGGTGGGACCTTCTCAGAGGCTGCCATCAACAAGTTTTGCAATGACCAGGGCCTCCCCATGGACCCAGTGTACAAAGTGTACTGGTGCAACTGCACTGTCCTTGGGTATGACGCGCAGGCTGGCATGCAAGCTGCAGTCAAGGAGTACGCAGCACAGATTGCATCCAGCCCTGAGACAAGCTGCATGTTGGTGGCTGCTCCGAATTGCGGAGCGTGGGGGAATGAGTACAACGAGGCGGCGACCATCGAGGCCACCAACCAGACCCGGCAGATCCTGGCTGACCCCGACTATCGCCTGCTTGTTCGAGAAGTTCACCTTGCCTTCGACCCCGCCTCCATCCAGATGCAGTCCAAGCGCCCTGGGCTGCACAAGTTCTTCATGTGCATCTCAGACCAAAGCAGCGGCGACAAGGTGCTGAGCCACTTTGCCCAAAGCCTTCTGTGGAAGCGGCAGATTGTGCCTGGGGCAATCAAGGATGCGGCAAGCGTCCCCATGCTTGCCGTCAAAAACATGGTGGACCCCCGCCGGAGCTTCGCCACCTGTGGTGGCAACCTGGATGTCAGCAAGCCCGCAAGCAGTGGCTCAGTGGCTGGGCCATCCCAGCCGCCTTCCACGATGCGCTCTGGGCATCGATGAGCTTGCCCAAGAAGGCAGTTGCTGCCTGGCTCGATGTGTTTGCCTTTGATCACTCACTTGCGGAGTGCCTCATGCGCAAGGCGGACTATGCCGGTGCGCCCAGGCAGCTCTACATCGGCCTCATCTGGGCCGAGATGAACACCAGGGAGCTCAACCCCGGAGAGTCCACCTTTAAGGCCAACGCCCGGGTGTGCAAGTGGCTGAACAACCAGATCCGCAGAAAGCTTCAAGCCTGCTGCACGGATGGGCTGCTCAAGGTTCCGGACTGGGCCCCGCTGTCCAACTACTCCGAAGGCAGGACGGCGCCGGCTTTGCAGGACAGCGACTTCACCATGACCTACCCGGCTGCTTCCAACTTGTTGCCGCTCAGGGCAACGTGCCTGGAGCTCCTGGAGCCCAAGCTGCAGAGTCCGGAGTCCAGAGCAGAGTGGGAGGCGGCAGTGGCAGAGCACAATGTCAAATGGAATCCGTCTGGCCAGCCGCACTTGGAAGGCACCAAGCGCCGTGCTGAGTCCGATGGAGGCGGCCCCAGGAAAAAGGCAAAGGTGGTGGACAAGGTGCCTGGCCAGCCGGAGACCTTGGAGGAGCTCATTGCCAAGAAGGGCGCAGTTGCGGAGGTGTCCGAGGTTTTTTCACAGACTCCGGTGAGATCTGGGCAATGGCTGCCCAGGACTGCGAGCTGAGTGACCAGGGGCCTGGCTTGGCTCTGGTCTTTGGCGCCTTCAAGCTTAACGAGGACTGCCTTGAATTTTGAATGTTGAGAGACGGATTGCCCTTTAACAGTTATGGTCAGGAAATTGACGCGGCCGAGAAGAAGGCGACGGTGTACCACGTCAACTTCCAAGCCGACACCGAAGAAGCTTGCTTTGTTGCAGACGGTGACAAGGGCACAGGGAAGCGCCAGTCCTTGCGCACTTACTTGTCCAGCCTGGAAGCAAGCGGCCGGGACTTGGCGATCATCGAGTTCGCGTGCCACACAGTCAAGGCGAAGAGCGAGAAGGACCCATGACCGGTCTAAAACCGACAACTTTTGCAACCAAGTATAGTTTCGATCGTATTTTCCCTTGTTTTACCGTGAGTGTTCGCACTGTGGGAGGACGGTGCCGGTGACACGACCGGGAGGACGTGCGACGTCACCGTGTCTGACAAGTGTGCCTTTGTGCCCGCCAAGACTCCCAGGAAGATTGGCGCGAAGGCGTCCCCAGACTGGGAGGACGTTGGCAGTGTGCCTGTGACGGCTCAGGGTGCCAGCTGGGATCCTGTCACGAAGAAGCACAAGACAGGGCTCTTGCAGATTGTGAGTCGCTGGTCCTTGACGGACACTGAGCAGGGCATCCAGTGTGTGCCGGCCAAGCCGTGCTTGTTGCCGTGCGAACCCCTGAGTCTCAAGCAGGGAACGCTTGTTCAGCTGGCATGATTCACACTGCTGCATTTGCTTTGACAAGTGTCGCAAGTCGCTTGCCGCGCACAGTTTGAACATTGACATCCGATTTTGCTTGAGTCGTGGAAAGGTGGTAGCGTGCTCTTTTGCGACTTGGCCTTGCCATTGTTGCACACGTGTTGCCCGGCCAGTTGCAGCACACTCCTGTGAACTGCAGCATTTTGGATCTAGCCGTTTGTTTGTGTTGAATCATTTGGAGCTTCCTCCCAGCATGGCCAGGCTCTCAGACACCGAGTCCGAGGACTGGATGGCAGAGCCAGGGCGGCCATTCGCGGCAGCCACAAAAGCTGCTTCAAAAGCCAGTGTGCCAAAAGGTGCGGCTTTCCCCGTTGCAGCGGAGGCCGGCGCTGTTCAGGGAAAATCTGCCATGGCGTGGCGGGATTGGACGAAGCCCAAGCCAGCTGGCAGTGTGCCAGGTCCTGCCGCTTGTGCCCAAGACAAGAACCCAAAGCGCAACAAGACTGACTTGGAGAAGCAGAGTGCAGTTGCCACAGCCGTTGCCAAAAAAGGGGCAGAAGCGGCTGAGGCGGCTGTGCGGCTGGCAACTCTGGCAGCAAAGCAAATGGCCCAGTCCCTTGCTACACCGCAGCGAGCTGCTCCCAAGGAGCGCAGTGTTGAGTTGCCCACAGTGGAGAAGCAGACCCAGCAGCCACCGCGTGACGCAGTGCAGCAGCAACAAGCCCCGGGCAGCTCCAAGGGCGAGGATTCTGAGAAAGTCAGAGAGAGGTCCCCGGCTGGCAAGGACGAGACCGACGGGCCCAAGCCTAAGAAAGCTCGAGCAGCATGGGGCTCAGTGGGATGCTTCGCAGGCCGCCGCCCACCCACTGATGATGAAAGCAAGGAGTCCTTTGAGCTGAAGCGGAAGCTTTGGAGTGAAAGCAGAAGCGCCTTGGAGAAGAAGTACCCGGGCAAGCCTATGAAAGGCGCGGTGACAAGGACGGCTTCGCAGGAGGCTTACTGGTTCTTCTTGCAAGGCCACATGAAGAAGACCTTGAAAGGCAACGGCAAGAAGCCCGGTGCCAAGGCCACAAAGGACGGCGTCAGCAAGGCTATCCAGGAAGCTTCCCGGCTCTGGAAATCCAAAGTGGACCAGGAGCTGTCAGTGCTTGAGTAAGAAGCTGTAGATCCAGTTTTAGCAAAATTCGGGGTTCCACGCGAGCGCATGATCTTGTAAGCCACAAAGCGTCAGAAGCAGTGCAGAGGGCGTGTTGCCCAAGTAATGTGATAAGTTGCTTGCCCTTCATGCATGTTGCTTGCAGTTGCATGTCTTGCAGTTGCCCATCTTGCCCTCAGCGGCCCAAGTTGCAAGGTTTTTCCTTGCAGCATGGCTTGGAAGCGGCCCTTGCCATGGTCGCAAGCGGAGGCCAGTGCAGAGAGTCGCAGTTCGCCAGGATCTTCCTGGCTGACGCCTGCGGCTTCAGCCGGCGCCTCCTGGCTGCAGCCGCCTGTCACGGTGGAGCCGAAGGCCAAAGTCCCCAGATCAAGCTCCCCGCTTGAGGTCTGCAGCCAGCAGCAGGCGGCATCTGGCAGAGCGCCGTCGTGGTTGACACCAAGCCCAGCAGGCTGTTCTAGGCCTGCGCGGATGCCGGCCAAGCCAATGCCAGAAGTGCACTTGACCTTGGGCATGGTCATTCTGGCTGGCGAGTCCCGTGAGACCGCCGCATTGCCTTTGGCAGAAGCCCGGGCGGCTACAGCAAGCCTGCTAGCCGAACCATGCCGAAGCACCAGCAGCAAGACAGGCGTTTGCAGCTCTTGCGAAGGTGGCTTCGATGTGGACGAGGTGGCGCATGTTCGGATGATTTTTCAGCAGTTGAAGATTGAGGCCCGCTCACAGCTGCTCAGCACTTGCTGGAGCACTGGCAAGGACTCAGATGCTTCAAGGGCAGCGTGGCGCTTTCTGGGCAAGAGGGTTTGTTTGCGCAGGTTGACAGCACTGCTGGGCTGCAGCGCGCGGACCTTCCAAAAAGCAACGCACGGTGGCAGTGTGGACCTGAGGCAGAACAATGGCAGAGCGCGCGCAGACGCCAGCATCTCAGTCGACCAGTTTTTCTTTGAGATGTACAACAGTGCGGCTGAGCTCCTTCCAGAGGATCCGAGCTGCCACGTGGAGGACATTGACAACTCCATTGATGCTGACGAGCGCCCGGCTGCATCAGCAGTCCCCACTTTGCAGCCTCACTCCAAGTTCCACCAAATGCTTCCTATTTTGGGCTGGGACCCCTCCCAAACTTTTCTGCAAGATGTCATGACAGCATCCATGGACGAGCAAGACCTCCCAATCCGCTACATACAAAACCAGAAGCCAATTGACTTGTGGTGGCAATACCTGGCTTGGGCAGTTGCTCGGTGTGGAGGGCAGTCAGCAAGTTGGAGCACGTTTTGGAGACGCTGGCACGGACGATGCTTGCACCTTCTAAGAATTCCTGTCTTTGTACAACCTTGTGCCAAAAAAGGAGTGAACTAAGTTTGTGATAAAGTGCCCTTAGCCAGCGAGAGCCAAGGATGGAAGCATTGCATCGGTCTTCGCAAGCAGTCAATGCAGCATTTGCTTTGAGCACTCGCAGTTCATCCATTATGGCCGTGGGACCGTCCAGGACAAGTGGAACCGCGCTCAGGCGTGGCAGGCCCATTTGCGGGAACAGTACCACGACAGGTTGATTTACTGGCACCTGCGTTGGCAGTCACGGAGTCCGGAGTCCAGAGTCCTGACTGTGATCATAGATGGCCTGGATAAGAACAAGGGAGTGTGGCCTCAGTACACCTTTCGGAAGTCCAAAGCACTGGACAAATTCAACAGGCCCAGGATTGTTGTTCACCTGGCCTTGGCACACGGCTACTGCGCCGACTTCTACCTTGCTGACGACGAGAACTTCTTTCACGGGGCCTCTTTCTTCTGTGAGGTCTTGACCCGCACCCTTGCCAGAGTCCAGCGCATGTGTGCGTCCAGAGGCCGCGCCATGCCGGACCACCTGGTTGTTCAAGCAGACAACACGACTGCTCAGGCGAAGAATTCTGAAGTTGTGAAGTTCCTAGCTGTCCTGGTGCTCAAGTACAAGTTTCACAGCGCGGTGCTCAACTTCTTGCAAGTCGGGCACACGCACGAAGACGTGGACTTCATGTTCAGCTTGCTGCTGGCGCTGGTCCTGCGCAAGGTGCGCATCAAGGTGCCGGACGACCTTCGCGTCGCAATATTGCATCTTGACAACTTGGTTGTTTTGCCCCAGGCAAGTCTTTAATTTTCAGAACGGTGCCCTTTGATAGCAAGCCGGGTAAGGACTGGTATGGCGCCAGTCACTGCTGGCAAGGGCTACGAATTGAACTGTGAGCTGATGACGCATGTGCGGGATTTCAACTCTTGGATGCGCCCGGCGCTGGCGCACTGTTACAACTGCTTTGTGACACGCAGGGGGGTTCAGTCTCCTCACTCTTTCACGTTCAAGCTGCGCATGGATCTTTCCCACACGGAGCTCAGCAGCCTACAAGAGCAGGGGCTAGTGGCATCAAGGGTAGGGCATGCTCATGATGTGTTTGTGGTCGTCAAGCACTACATGAGCAGCAAGGCGCCCAATGGACCACCAGTTCTGCTCTTACCCACGGACCGTTTTCTGCGCCTTGCAAGTCCTGCCCCCACTGGGAGTTGCTACGCGACGCACCCCATGAATGAGAAGCGCAAATCAGATCTTCAAAATCTCGCTGCTTTTCTGGAGAACATGTCCAGCGCCTGGGGTGTGGAGCACTCTTACTTCCGGGCCGCGCAGGAGCTCAGGTGTCTTGCTGATGGGAGAGATGCGCATCGATCCACTGATGGGTACCTGGAAAGCCTGCAACCCGCTCGAGATCAGCCCCTTGCCCTCACGGACTGACTGGGGATTGCAGCTGCATTTCGGTCTTGTGTTGCGCAAAAGACCGGAAAGACAGTTTGGCCCTGACAGGACAACCCTTACTACAACAACTTGCCCGGCGCCTCGTGGCAGATGCTCGTGAAGTTCCGCTGAGTGCAGAGTCCAGAGTGTAAACAAAGATGGCTGGGCCAATGCTTATTTCCTTGTTGGCTGACATTGTTGGGCAGTGCTTGGAAGCAGTCATGATAGTTAGAGAGCAGTCTCACTGTCACAGCTGCATGACCCGCCTGAAGCTAGCAGGCTCAAGTTCTCGAAGCCGAAGCCATGACACACGTAAAGCTTTTTGGCCTCACAGTGGCCACGCTTCTTGCCTGTGCACACCTGTCCGGTGCACCCAGGGACTTAGATGCAGTTGAAATCTTTTCAGGTGTGGGCAGCATCGCTGCGGCAGCCCAATCGCAGGGGTTCGCCGCCAGACCCTTCGACAAGTACAGGGTCATGGGCTGCACCGATGTGGATGGAGAGACCTCCGAAGACATGACAGTAAAAAGCGGGTTCATGAACGCAGTCGAGCTGGTCTTTCGGCTGCGGCTCGGTGGACTTCTGTGGCTAGCGCCGGTGTGTGCATCCTGGATCGGTCTCAACATCTCACGCACACGGCGTTCAGCGGCCAACATGTATCACGGTGACACCACCTACCCCAAAGTTGCGCAAGGCAATGTGATGGCTACTGCATGCGCCATGCTGATGGAACTCGCCCACAGCCGAGGGGTGGAGCTAGTTTTGGAAAATCCCCCATGCAGCTCCATCTTCAACTTCCCACCCATCGCAAGAGTGCTCCAAATGCTGAGTCCAGAGTCCTGCGTCACACACCGCTGCGCCTTTGACCGGGGCTCGCCTGATGGGAAAAAGCTGTGGAAGAAGTACAAGTTCGTGGGATCGCGGCAATGGATCCAGCATGTAGCTCGGCCTTGCACCTGCAAGAGCAAGAAACACATCCACCTGACAAAGAAATGGACAGATTCCAGGGGCAAGGTGCGATTCCAGGGCAGGGCCAGCTTGCTGCGAAGGTCCGCAGCCTACCCCAAAGCACTCGGAGTGCAAGTCGTGAAGGCATGGTGTGCGGGAAGGGAAGCAGCGGCCACACCTTTTGCCGCCCGACGCCCCACGAAGCGCCCCTCGGAGCCCAGTGCCCAGAGTCAACCGGCAGTGGCCCCAAAGCGCCACACATGGCTTCAGCCGTCAGTGAGCTCCAGGCCAAAATCCAGTTCCCAAGCCCAGCCAAACGTTGCAGGCGACTGAGGGCATGCGCTTGCGAGTGCAAAATTTAAATGCGCCTTGGCTGAGTCGTCTGGATACCTTTTCCCAGACACTTGCCCTATTTCCAGACGGGGGGTTGATTTCCAGACACTGCCACCCTCAACACTTGCCCAGTGCCAGGGCCCGGGCTTTGGACTCTGGACTCTGCACTCTGCACTCCGCGCTCCCAAGAATCAGGCCTTGGGCAGTGCTGGTTGGCTGACTGATGGGCGGGGGTCCAACTTGGTTCGGGTTTTCTTGGGCGGCTGAGCTTCTACCAAAAAGCTGCCGGTTTCAGACGCTTGAGTTTACTCCTTGGGAAGCTTGCAAGCCATTTATTAGCTTTCAAAAGGTTATTAGCTTTCAAAAGGGGCAACCTCAAGCGTCTAAAACCGACAACTTTTTGAAGAGTGCATTTCCGGGTGCGTTAGAAAAACACTTGTCAATGGACTGTTGGCTGGCTGGCCCCCGCCGCACCAGGTGCCCAGCAGGAAGCGCTTCGGAATGCACAGAGCCTGAGTTCAGCTGTTGCGGAGAGTCTGAAGCAAACCCCTGGGACCACATTTGCATTTCAGCCTGCTCAAGCGTTAGGGGGAAAAGGTCGTCAGTCCAAAGTCCTGAGTCCTGATTGCATTACAGCTATGATGGACACGGGCCTCTGCAATCACAAGAAAGGAGTTGTCTCACAGGCCTGGATGCAGGAATTGGCTGATGGCTTTTCGAGTTACAAGAACCCATATGAACTGCAGCACTTTGCCAACTTCGGGCTGCAGCGCATCATAGACTTCAGCATGTTCCTGAAGACCCTGATGGTTGACAAGAGAATGGAAAGTAAAGTTATTGCGAAATCATCCGCGGCTTTGACTCTGCTCCAGCGGCACTACCAACATGGTGAGCAATTGCGGGATGTACATTACCAGGAGTTATGCTCTTTCGACCCGTACCAGCAACTGCAAACTTGGAGCCAGAAGCTGGCCAAGCTCAACAACCACACAGTCCTGAAGATGAAGATCATTGAGATTGAGGACTACGTCCGGTTTTGGGAGGAGCTTGATAGCTCTCTTCAGAGCTTGGAGGCCTTTCAAGCAATTCTTCACCCGCTCTACGTGATTAGCAGGGACAGCTTGGCCCATTTGAGGGAACACATGGGTGTGCCACCTGTGCATTTCATTAGTCCAGGAGTCCTGAGTCAATAGCTTGGGCGCCTCGAGTTTAGCTTTGCATGAAAATCAACCAACCAGTTTGCTGACAATTCAAGGCATGTGTAGTCAGTAAGCCTTGGCCCCACCTGCCACTGAGGTCCTGGCGCGTGATGTTTGCGGGCGCTCGTGAACCGGCCACGCAGTCTCACCCCGGCTTGAGCCATGTTGGGAAATTGCCTGTTTGGGGAAACTCAGCCTGCAGAAGTGCGCAAACCCTGTGGTGGCATGTTCACCAGCTGTTTCAACTGAGCTGGTCATATCTACGGGGGTTTTCAATCGAAACAGTTGGCACACATGCCACCACAGGGTTTGTGCACTAATGCAGGCTGATGCTGAGGGAAAACATCAAATGGGTGAGTTGTTTGAACATCCAGCTTTCAAAGCTGCTCGCAGTGTGCCTTGTGTCTGTGTGTGTGTGCGCGGGCCGGTGTTTGTGATCCTGCTCTTGTGTGCTTGTGTGTTTTTTCACGGCATCATCTGTGACAAGTAGCAGCAGGACACAGATACAAGCCAGAAAAACCAAGCTACCAGAATCAAAAACCAAACTACCAGAATCAAAGAACAGAGGTTCCCTACCCAAAACTCATGGTCAAGCAACCCCTGCCTTGATTGCTCACGTGCTTCGCTTTGAGTCAGCCACAAACAGTCCCTGGCCAATTTTGCTCATCACTTTGGTCTTCCCAAGAAGTATCAAGTCCACAAAGTTCCCGTTATAGCTTGAACTTGGTTGCCGTGTGTTCTTCGTTTCCCGCTGGTCCGTTGCTTGGGGTTGTTTTAGTCTGTAAAGTTCCCGGCGGCTTCCCGCCTTAAGATTTGTTATGGCGCCCAGTCGCTTCCCTGTTGCTTCTTCTTTGAATCCCCTTGGTTGCATCGTTAGTGTTCTTTTGGCTTTGCCCTTCATGTCCTTGAGGCTTGTATTTAGGTTGTATGTAGGTTACCGTTCGATTTCCGGTTGTTTTCTTCCTGGTTGCTAAAAAATGCATATGCTTTCGGTCCCCAGGTTCGCATTGGGTTTCGCTGCAAACACCAAAGCCTGAGCTCACCCGCAAACACAATCGACTGCATCAAGACGGACTTTGTTGTGTTCTCAATATTGATGAATACCTGCAGTTCGGATTCTTTCGGCTTCCCTTCAACACGAACCAGCAAGTGGCTCCCTACTTTAATACGCTTTCGCTTGCTTTTCCCCCATATGGTGTGGTAGTAAACAAGCTCTGGCGGGTGCCACTAACTAACAAGGATTGCAAATGCGGACTGCTACCAGTCCAAGCAAAGCTTGAAGCAAACCGCAACTCATTGGGCTGAACTTGTTTGTTAGCCAACGTTGGCAAGAAGAACCGGTTTACCCACAAAGGGACAATCTGTGACGGATCCAACTATGTCCTTCTGTTCCAGGTGCTGTTGTTGAAGGTTGCCTTCAAGGGCCAGGGACAGCCAAGCACATTCTCCGATTGTCAAATAGCTTCAGCACTCACATGTTCCGTGACAGCCAGGGCCTGGATAGCCGGTTCCCAAGTGTGGTCAATCATGTTGACAGCCGGTTCCATACAAGTTGACAGACTCATCTTTCAACAGGTCCAAACGCTCTTTCGGTCAAACAACCATAACTGTGATCCAGCCTCACCGAGCAAATTGGCTCCAGGCTAGCGCTTGCAAGTGGAGGTTGAGCCGGTCCGAATCAAGACTTGAAGCCTACGCTACAAGGTCTTTGGCCGCGAAGAAACGCTGTGGTGAAAAATACGCCCCTTTTGGAGATACCGACATGGGCCATCCGTGTCTTCTTTTCGAGGGGAGCCCCTGAGAACCCAAAATGCGCCCAGCTGACTTCCTGATATATGTGTGCTTAGTGCAAAGTGCTTTGGCCCCTTGGTGTCCGGAAACAGGCTCCGTGTGGAGCCCGCCCTTTTGGCCAACTTCGAATGGAGGGCATGAGCCCTCGATTCGTGTCCCAAAGCGAGTGAGGTTGCCAAAGTTAGAACGACAAAGATCAAGCGACGAGGAATCCCAAGCTGAGGCCCCTTAGAAGTGGCTGCTTGGTTCAGCACGTTCTTGTTACTGGACAGCCCCGCTTAGATGACTTGACTAGGAGAAAAGGCAAGCCACTACTGAAAAGTTCTTCAGGCGTGAGACACGTGTTTTTACTGATGGTCTGCCTAATGCAGTTGTTTGAGGGCGATCACTGTGATCACCTATCGAGCTTCGAACCAGTCAGCTTGCACCACTCAACCCCAACTCAAGGGATGGATTCTCTTTGAACTGCCCGGCAGATAAGCTTCTCAAATACAAAGTCTAGAAAAGTGGGAACACAAACAGGTTGTCGTTAAGGAACCACATATGCAAGTGGAGGACACCACATATGTCGGTGTTGCTGTTGCCTTCTCTCCCAAAAGCCAACCAGAACAACTTGGTTGACATTGGAAGGGGAGCAACAATTCTCAAATTTTAGCTGCTAAGGGTGGATTTCCACCACTAAGCCACAATAAGCAAAAAAGGTAAAATGTTTCCCAACAACAACCATGACAAGTACCTGAAAGAAAACACCCCCAAATGGGTCTCGCCCTGACTTCGCGAAAACCCACCCGTTCGGCACGCCTGGCGCGTCACTGGGCAAGTCGGGCCGGTGAATGCCTGCAAACGCAACTCCGTTGAGGTCAGGTCAACTCAAAATTGAACTATATAAAGGAATGTTTTCAAGAACCCTCCAAAAAGGGTAAAAGGGCACTACTGGGGGACCAAGTCTAAATGGGGGAACTAAAAGCAACTGGGCCCTCATAGGCACCAAGGAGAAGCGACGGCTGCCTAGCAGGGTGCCTTTTGTCCCCAATCAAAAGACAGCACAAGACAGCCGGGTTGCCGAGAAGACGCCATGACCTTTTTTCTGCCTGAACTCCACCATTTGCTCGCATTCCCAGTAGGGAAATTGCGGGTGTGTGTGAGGCCATATGAGAAGCCCCAGCCCGTACCTGCAAGGGGGAAGGCAGATCCCGAAGTGCCGTTTATCTAGTCTTGCCCACACGTTTCAAAGGTTGTTGAAGGGGGCGGGCATGGCGTGACAACGGTTGAGCTTGAGAAACATGGATCTATTTCAACCATTTCCATGGCTTTACATGAAAAGCAAAAGGAAACCAAAAGGGTCGGAGCCCCTTTTAGTTTCTATAGCCCTTGAATTGCCATCCCGCGTGCTTTTGAGGGAAGTCTTGGCCGAAACCTGGCACCGTGCGCGTCCCCTTGAACCATCACCCCGACTGGGACATCCACTGATGCCAAACAGGGTGTGATGTTCTTTCCCTTTGTGGATTAAATCTTGGTTGCTTTCTGCCCCCCTGCTAAAAGCTTTTCACTTTTGGTGGTTTTATGGGAAAACCCATTTCGTTGGCAAAAAGTTAAAGTCCCAACATCCAAGCAAACTGCACCAAAGTTAACGATTATCTCCGATGCACTGGGGTATGTGGCAGTTGATCAATATTCCTGTTTCCGGAAAACGCCATCTTCGCGAGAAAAAAAGTTTCTTTCGCGAATCTTTCGCGACTCCATCGCCACGCCCTTTTGTTTGCAGCGTGCGCTCTGGAGCCATTGCGGCTGCTGCAGTTGTGCTTGCAAACACGGTAGCCGCAGTTCACTTGCGTGCAGTACGTAGTGTCAAGTGCAGGCAGTCACCGTCGTTCGCCCTTGCCACTTGCGGTTGCCGGCGATGTGCGGAACCTTGCAACAAGCTCCCTGGCCTTTCGCCGGTCTTTCGCGGATCTTTCGCGAAACTTTCTCCAAAATTGCGCAGCCAACGTTATTGATTTGCAGCAATCC